TATCGATATTGCATTGACTTATTGTTACTATGAACATGGATACTATTGATTCATTGATACTATCGCTTCATTGGTACACCGTATTAAACTGCTGCATGTGATTTATTGATCAAAATGGAATAGGTTTTACTGTATTGATTAGATTTCAATCGTTCTTGCGATGTATTGGTTTGATTGTTTTATATGATTTCATACCGATTGATGTTATTGACCAGAGATAATTGATTTGATTGATTATATTGATACGATATTGATTTAACGGTTATTATCGAGACGATGATTTTCCTCTATTGATTTGATTGGATTCTTACGAGATTTATCGTATGTACTGATTCATGGAGCTTTATGGATTTCTTCTTACTATTTATCGATTCTTTTACCGATGATTGTGAATTGTATCGATCATGTATTGATTACTGATTTTCCGTATCTGTATAGATTCACTGATCATGTGCAACTGACTATTATGGATTTGATTGACTGACATGCATATTGTTTTAGTATCGTGCTTTGATTTCAGTTGTAAGTTTTTGGTGACCTGCTGGGCTTTTTGAAGCTTATTATATGTGGTTAACAATTTCATGTTAGAGCAAGGGAGCAGGAAGTGATGGTTGATCAAGACTGTCGACGAATCCTTTCACTATAGATGCCTGGGGCGTCACAGAAGGTTTATGTGGAAATTTTTTTCAAAGAGTTGAATATGAAAAAAAATCTTCTTTTTGTTTCAAATGTGGCAAAATAGGCCACAAAATTGAAAATTATGTAGATGTTCTCAAAGATGCGAAAAACAAGAATCAGAACAAAGTTGAGGGAATTAATTCAAAAGCTCCTGTTACAAGTCTTGATAATAGTTTGATGGACAAAATGGATACTGTGGATTCACAAATGAGTTACGGCCCTTGGATACATATGAAGTTTAAGATGTATAGAAGAATGAAGAATAATCAGAATCATAAATCTGAATTTTAGCCCACAGTTAAGAATACATATAACATGATGGCATAAGCGGATGTCCCTTCAGGAAATAAGTTTAAATTGTTGCTCATGTCTTTGCCGAAGAATTGTCTAGATTGGATGATGAGGAGCCAGTTAAGAAATCCAAAAATCACAAGATGGTTTCAGATTTTGAAGTCTCGGTTTTGGAAGCAGAAAATCCTGAGTCAGATTTGTCCAAAAATACAGTTTTTGTTGATGATATTCCAGATCAATTAAAAGAAGGAGATATTGATCAAAATGCTGAAAACTATGTTATGGATAAAGGTTTGAATGTAAATACTAATAATCAAGAGAAGCTCCATGGAAACAAGATTGATGATTTACCAATACCGGATGGAAACAAGGATAATATTGTTAATGCTGGAACTATTTTAGAGAAGTGATTGTTGAAAGTATAGTGAGAAATTCTCCAAATTCAGAAGATGGAGAATTTGATTTGGCTTCTAATTTGGCTTTTAAGGAAAATGTGAAAGATAAAGGATGTTAAACTGAAGCAGAGATTGATCTTGTTGGTGAAGGAGGTTCGGGCAGCTGTTCTCAAGGTTTTGAAAATCTGAAACATAATGCTATTTCTCCTTTGTAGAATAGTGGAGAAGCTTTTTCGAAGATTAGAAAATTTCAAACTCCCTTCCAAATTGGTTTGTTAGAAGAAAAAGTTTAACAAAGATTCGAATTTGTTTGGTCCTATTAAAGGGAGCCTTAGATGTAAGAAATTGGGCATTCTTGGTGGTAGTATTGGAGCCACTTCATTATTTATCTCATGAAATGATTGGTGAAATTGAAGTTCAAGATTGGTTTGTTGATTGGTTGAAGGTGGAGGAGATTGAAAAGGACAGAACTTGTGGAGGCGTCAAGATCATATTTTATTTTTTTGGCGGATTACTCTTGCTTACTTTTTTTTTCTATTATTTTGTTTAACATTCTTGTTTTTTCTAGATTTAATTTAAGTATAGGTTGGTACTTGAAAAAAAGGAACAAAAATAATGGAATTTAAGTATCTTTATATCTCTTATTTTTTACTTAATTAGGAACTCTGAGATACTAATCAACCATTTTGATTGTTTTATCTTTGGTATCCCCTCCACCCCTATTGATTTAAAATGATAAGTAGAGGGTCTTATTTTCATTATGATATATCATGTTTTTCTAATATTTACATTATGCTTAAATTGCACTTTAATAAGGCCTCCTTTTGCCTTGTTTTGAAGGGAGTGCCTAATAGCTTCTTTCTACTTTGTAATAGCTTCTTTTTTTCAGTTTAATGCTATATGCATATTTTCAAAAAAAAAAAAAACTAAGTCTTGCCGATTATAATATGTTTGGAGTGGTAGTTTCATTGTGTAACTACCTCTTCCTTTCTCCTCCATTCATTTGGTTGGCCTTACTCCTCATCCCTCTCTTGGTAATTCCTTCAAGCCTTTCCATTTCGGTGAGTAATAAATTCTCAAAATCTCCATAAACCCTACCCATCTCCTGTCACGACCCGACCCGATCCGGGACAGATCCCGTTCGCACCGGGCCGCGACCAAACCTTTTATCCCGGTGAGTAATAAATTCTCAAAATCTCCATAAACCCTACCCATCTCCTATTATATAACTCTTTTGAAATCTTCTCTTCAAATCTTCATATCAATTCTCCAATATTTCTCCCACAAAATCTACCCAAATGCCTCATAAAAGCTCTTGGCCAAAGTTAGCCCTAACGCAACCTAATTTTGATTTAGATACCATTTGGTTAAGTCCCATTCTCTACATAAAGGGTAACTTACTTGAAATTGGAAGGAGACCAGAGATATGAATAACTCTAGTATTAGACATTCAATGCTAATGATCATTGCTAGCAAATGTTATCGCCCAATCGATGCCTCTCGATCACCATCGCTCGATCGTCATCTGCCAACTAGCACCTTTTGATTTTCATCATCACCTTACATTATTTTTTCCACAATCCATTTTACAATCATATGAGACCAAGCAAATGCTTAAAATTTTGTAATCTCATCTTCTCCAATTATGAAAAAAAGTGGATTTATATAATTTCATATATATAAATGATTATTTCAATTAGGCCAAATGCCATGTTTTCTAATAAAAATAAAATCTAAATTAGGCTCTCGATCACCAAATGACATCCATCGTCGTAGAAGATAGTGCTCGATATCAGGGGCGGAACCAGCCTTTCATCTTAGGGGGGGGGGGCAAAATTTTCTTAGTATAATTAAAAACCCAATTTGTAGAAAAATCACTTGGATATAACTCTGCTAGACATATCAATTTCCTCTCATCATAAGCACGAAAAGAATCACTTGCATTTAAGCATGACATACACAGAAGTAACTCAGCACTTGATTCAGAAAAGCGATTATTTAGCTCTTGAAGTTGCATGTCAACTACTGTATAAATAAATCAACACGATAATGATGTAGATTTCCATATAAAGTTTGGGGAAATTGATGACTTCTCGGTTGATGTGATCCCTTCAATAGATATGATTTCTGAATCTTATCTCTATCATTTACATCATAACTTCAAATAGGAAGTCGGAGTCCTAGATCTGCTGGGAGATTGCTAAAATCAATTTCTATTCGCTCTTTCCTCTTTAAATAACACTCCATTTCTCTAAATCCTAAAATAAAATTTATTACCAAAGAAGAGTAACCGTCAATCAAAATATTATATAAAATACGAAGTTTCTAATATATCTATAAATATTATGTTTCAATCAAAATAACCTCCATATCTATTTCTCAGGCGATGACAGTGCAACCAGTTAACTTAAATCTATGGGGCAGAGGGCTAACACTCAATACATAAATTTCTTTGCTTCGGTAGTGAGTAAAAGTAAAATGAAAGGTTGTTGACCTGAAAACCATACCTTGCCCATACAGTGTATGACAAAATCAGTTGAGTAACACTTATGCAAATGACGTTCCAATTGTTTCTTAACAAAAGGTGCATTAAGTTGGAATTAGGTCTGTTACCAACCATAAGCAATAGAACCTAAACTTGCCAAATGTAATAATTTCTTGGATCCACTTCCTCCAAATTAATCTAATGTTTTTTTAGATTCATCTACCATAAAAATTAAATATAATTAGTCTTGAATTTGTTAGCCATTAATCTTAACATTCAAAGAAAGAAGATCAACGCATAAAAGTATCTACATATTGCAAAAATGAAAGAAGATCAACGCATATCAGATGTTTTTTCCCTTTTCTTTCCTTCTTATTGTTCATTTCGGTATGAAAATAGATATAACAAAAAAATTTAAGAGCCACCATGAATCCATGAAAATATGAAATACCACAAAACACACATCATTTCGGTATGAAAATCCATCAAAATAACAAAAAATCAAACAAAAAATAACAAACAGAACAATCAAAACTGACTTAGATCTCCCTGAACGGAGGCCCTTGCGATTCACGAAGCCAGTCTAGCCACGAAGGGATGAGGATCCTGCCGACAACGAAGCCTTGCGATTCACGAAGCCAGATGAACAGTTCCTCTCTTGCGCGAACGACGAATCACCGAGCTTCCACGCGAATCACCGAAGCCCTGTCGTGACTGGCGTCGTGCTTTGTTCGTGCAATTGTCCCCCCTTACCCATGAACAGTTCCGCCCTTGCTCGATATTCAGATTCGATGGAAGAATGAACAATTAATAATAAAAGTTTATTTTAGAAACCAATAAAAAAGCACCCAGTTCTCATCTTTATATGTTGATTGCGAGTATTGGCCACCAACCTATAGGTCTTGAGTTCGAGTCTTACATATGTGATATGTGCGTGAATTTATCTTAATTGACCTAAATATTCCAAAAAAAAAAAAACTAATAAAAACAAAATCTAAACAAAAGATTATAATTAAATCTGAAAAAACATACAAGTCATTTTTATAACAATAATATATGTTTAAATAATTTTATTATTTATTATATTTGACATTTTGACTCCTATCCCTAAAAAAATATGAATGCACGTTTATCACGCCTTAATCGACATAATCGTGAAGACGCAAACCTGACGCTGAGGGGATTTTGGCTGCTTTTTCCGACAATATGATAAAGCAGCCTCGCACTTCTTTTGCGAGCTCAGTATCGATCGTCTTCTTCTACTTCTCTCAAACAATCTGCAGATTTTAGGGCTTTGAAAAAATGTCTACAGAGAAGGTCAAAAACAAGCGGATCACTCTCAAGGACTACGTGACAGGGTACCCAAAGGAGGAGGACCTACTTCTCGGCTCCTCCGACCTCGAGCTCAAAGTTCCGACCGGCTCTAATGCCGTTCTCCTCAAGAATCTCTACCTCTCTTGCGACCCATACATGCGGGGAAAAATGTCGAAGCCCCTCGTCAAGAGCTACACTGATGCTTTCACTCCCGGATCTGTGAGTGCTATTCCATGCTCGTATTCTTTCTTTCTTTCTTTCTTTTTTTAATTTTATTTATGTCAAGAATTCGTTGTCTAGTTGGATTTTATTTTGTGAAGGCTGCTGACCTTTGTTCAGCTGGTTTAAATTGGGATTTTGTGATGCGGATGTGAAGCAGCGGATTAGAGGGTTTTGTATTCTTTGGTTTGATTGGAAATAATTTATTTCCGTGTAAATATGTTGACATAATCAATTCTTCTTACAATATGCACCAAACAGTTTTCAGTTGTTACAGCTGGGTTTCAAAATAGGGAGAAATTATCAGGTGTGGATAATTAATTTTCCACTCTATCTACTCCACCGTTTGTCCTCGCGAGGCATGTATGTAGTCCATGCCTAACAATTCTTCAGTATGAGGCTCCAAAAATGGACGAAATCTGTTTAGATTCTTCTTGGAATTTTGTGATGCGGAAGTGGAAGCAGCAGATTAGAGGAGATTTGTATTATTTCTTTGGTTTGAGTGGTAATAATTGCTTTTATTGTAAATGTGTTGACATAATCAACCCTCCTTAGAATCTGTACCCAATCCTTTACAGTTGTTTCAGGTGGCTGTAGTATGGGGAGAAATTATTAGGTAATAGCTAGTTATGCACTCCAGTCCACTTTTTGTCCGCTCGTTGCATGTATATAGCTCATATCTAATAATTTCTCTAGTATGAGGCTCTAAAAATAGCTGAAATTGGCATAATTTATTGTAGAATATACCTACAGCTGCCACCAATATAAAAGCGGAAAGATTTTTTTGGGCAGCGGATCATGCCTTGTGCCCTCTTGACCACTTTGCAGCGGTCTTAAGAGGTAGGATGATCCCTCCTTTGAGTTTTTTTTTGGCTCGTTCACCTTGGCTCTTAGTTTTTTTGGCATTTGTTGAGTCTAAACTTCAAGAGTCTTTTTAGGTTCTCCAACTTTTATTCACAGTACCCTTCTCTTGCTCTCCTCTTAGTTTTAAGGAAGAAGACATAGGTTGCCTCTATTAAGAGCTACCCAACAACGCCAAAAAGTATGAGTTGTTCAAGCTTGAAACAAGGGAAATCTGGGAGCACTTTGCTGCGACAAGTATATTTGTTACTCCTGGTTTCCCTTACCTTCTTAGACTTTGTATTTCCTGACCTATCCTTAACCATTATTGAGCCTTGCATTTGGCGAAAATTTGGAAAGAGTGTCAGGAATGGGGATTTTCGGAACTTTATTCCCAAAACTCCCCTTACACTCTTACTTAGTCATTTTGGGTTAACTAACTAGAGCCTCAGGAATTTTTAGTCATCTTACCATTATAATTGTGTAAACTTAAACTTAAATTTTATTCTCACATATTAGAGCGGTTTTGTAGCTTTTGTTATTGTAGTCTACCCTTCATGCATACAAATATTCACACAGGCACACTCTCGCATTTCACACATTGTAGGTTTTTGCTACTACATGCATTGTATTTTTTATTATTGATGCATATGCATCTAGGGATTTTATTCAAAGCTTGTAATTAAAATCATTGTAACAGTGAGTCAATGAAGCCGACCCTCTTTTATGTAATAAAAATTGTGTGATGTACTTTTGGGCCAAGCCCTTAGAATGCCAGAATATAAGTCATAGTGGGTGAGTATTTTTCTTCCTTCCAGCCCCATTGTGTGTACTATCGTATTACTTTCTTAGTAATAAATTGAGATGTTTTGTTTTCCCTTGAAATTTTTTGTAATGTTCTGAATGGTTTGGATACACGAATCTGCTCATAAGGTAAAAATTTTATCTAAAATCAAGTCAACTTAACTTTTGATTCCCTCAGCTCCTTGGACTACTTTCTATATTAAAAAAGGTGTAAATGAATATTTGTTTAGTTTATAACCTAGAATAGTAGATTAAGCTACTTAAGGCCATGAGCCAGATATAAGATATAAGCATTGTTCATGCTTCCTAGGGTGTAGGACTAATTAATAAATACCTATTGATTCTTAATTATTAGTAAGTCTGAGACATGCCTGTGTGCAAAGTACGCTTAGAATGAAATTATCATATGCATAATAAAACTTACATTCATATCAGTTCATCATGCTTATGGGCAAGCTTAGAAGACTCCTTATCATGAATTCCCCTTACACTCTTTCAAGTCAGTGTGGGTCAATTAACTGGAGTCTCAAGACTTTCTATTAATCTAGCCATCTTAATTGTGTAACTAAAATTTCATACTCGCATATTAGAGTGGTTGTGTGACCTATATTATTGTTGTGCCCTTCATGCATACGTATATTCACACATGCATTCAGACGCTCATTCTCTTCTTTCACACCTTGAAAATTTTCATGCCAATGGATTGCCATATAGGAATTGTATTTAAAGCTTATCTTAAAAAATATTTATAAAAATACCCTTTTTGTCATAAAAATTATATGATGTATTTTTGGGCTAATTCTTTACAGTGCAAGGATAGAAGCCTTGGTAGGTAAGATTCCAGGTTAAGATTCTGGAATGTTTAGTTTTATCTTCTTTCCACCTCACTGCACATCCTCTTTTATTACTTTTTTTTTTTGTAATGGACAGAAATTTATTGTTATCCCTATAAATTGCCTATATTGATTTGCATGCTTTAGATACACGAAGAAACCTATAAGGCAAATTTTCTATCCAAAATAAAGTAAAGAACAACTCTTGAATTTTTCATCAATTTGACCAACTTTAAAAAAAAAAAAAAAAAAAGAAAAAAAATGAATACTTAACTAGTCTATAACCCAAAAGTGCATATTAAGTTGTCAAGGTCCATGAGTTGGATATGATATTCCAATGTAAGATATGTACCCTAGGATATAGACGTAGGACTAACTAGTAAATTCTTACCGATGCATAATCATTAGAAAGTCCGAGATTTGTTTGCATGTGGGCTAAGCTAAAAACGATGTCATCATCTGCCTAATAACCCTCATGTGCATGTTGGGAAATCTTGCTAATGTGGCAAGATCTTAAAGCCCATTTTCTCTTACCGGCCATCCTATATTGCATGAGACATAAACTTAAACTACACGTACTTAAAATTTATATAGGTGGAGTCTTGTGGTGTTCCCCATTCTGAGGATATAAGGTCAATCATTGCGCTTTTTGATCTTTTTAGGATTTGATTGCAAGTCTTGTTGTAGCAATATTCTTGACCGGTGAACTAGGAAACCCTCTCTTGTTTTTATAGAGTTGTAAACCCCATATTCTCATTAGTCAAGTTGTAACCTCTTTTGGGTATTGTGATTATAGTTTGGGCATTTTCGATCTAGCTGTTAAGGCAATGTAATTCTCGTTCTTTGGGTTGATTCCTTTAGCTCCCTTTGTGATTGTAATTGTTGTATGGTTATTATCATTTTCATTGGCAATGGGCTTGTTTGGAGGGGTGGGAATAAGAGACCAGGTCCCTTGTTACTGTAAAGCATTGAATTCAGCTGTAATGGCTGCCTGCCAGTGTTTGTATTTAGCCGCTTATTTGTATGTTGTCAGAGTGGAGGGTGAGGCTGTATTGCTAAGAAGAATGAAGATGCTTTTGGGTTTTGATATACCAGATTTTGATCTGGTCTGCATGTGGTGAATTGGATAAGGAAGAGGTGTGGGAACAGATTGAGACACGGTGCTTATGGTGGACGGCAAGTTAGAAGGCAATTGGTGCAAAGTGAGATGGTTTCCTTTGTTTGAATTGGTAGCAGATTATGGGCCAGGATTTGGTGCTGAATATGATGCGACGAAAGTAGGAATCAGGAGAAGAGGGGAGGTGTTGTGAGTGGGGGAAGCAGTAGTTGAGTGGGGTGTAAGCGGTGAAGGATTGTAAGGGAAAATGTGTTCGTGCAACACAATGTGATGGGAAATGTGAGTCTTGTGTGTGTCAAGGTTGTAACATTTGTAAACTTTGTGGGTAGGTGAGTAACCGATGATGATACAATCGTACGACCGAGGAGAGAACTTGCTTGAGGTATAAGGTTGTAACCAAGGATAGCAGAGGCAACCGAAGGAGCGGAGGTGAGTATAAGTGGGGGATATCCCGTGAAGATTTTGACAGGGAGATTGTAGAGAGGTGGATTTGGAAGGAAGTCTATTTATGAGGTAGTTAACAATAGACAGAGCGTCGGCCCAAAATTTATTTGGAAGGTTGGAAGCGTGTAGGAGCATGCGAGTGAGATCAAGAAGATGCCTGTGTTTGCGCTCAGTTACGCCGTTTTGTTCAGGCGTGTGGGGCAGCTGAGCTGGTGGAGGATTCCGTGCTCTTGAAGAAAGGACTTGTAGAGGCGTTGTTGGTGAATTCTCCGCCACCGTCTGAGCGAAAGATTTTGGGGGTGGTGGAGTGCTGTGTTGGAATTAGACTGCAAAATAGTTTAAACTTAGTGAATGTCTCTTGTTTGGAGTGCATTAAATATGTCCAAGAAAAATGTGTAAAATCATCAATAAAAACTCCATAGTAACGGTAACCACCAAAAGAATGTTGTTGAGCCGGTCCCCAGACATCCGAGTGGATGAGCTCAAACGGCGCGTAAGAGACGGAAACACTTGTATTAAAAGAAAGTTTGTGGCTCTTGGCCACGTTACAAGATTTACACAAAAAGGATAAAGAGACATTTCTAAATTCAGGGATTCTCTTTGCAAGAATAGTGAGAAGACTACTGTGTGGGTGGCCAAGCCGAGCATGCCAGAGTTGAGAGGAGGAGATGCTGACGTGAAGAGCAGTAGTGGTTTGTCCGGAGCCGTCTTGATGTGATATAGTCCATTATGAGGATGCCCACAAAGAAGCGGTCGATGGTTCTGGATATCTTTAATTTCAAAGCCATTAGCATCAAAAGTAATATAGACAGAGTTATATGAAGTTAATTTTGAGATGGATAAAAGATTGTGAATAAGCGAAGGGGTGTGAAGAAGATTACACAAACGAAGCTTACGATTTGTATTCGGTAATGGAAGCAGGCCTTGGCCGGAGTTTTGGATAGGTAAATGTGATCCGTTAG